TTTTTGAAACTCCAAAACTTACATCCCAAAGGAAACGAACACAAGAGCTGAAACAGTGTCATGTTACAGAGCTGATAAGGAGGTTTTACAACCACATTACTTGGGAAGAGAGTGCACAAGCAAGAGGGAGACAATGGGAAGACAGAAACATTCTTTAATACAGAGTTTGCTGCATTAATCATAGACTAACTGATCCATAAATGAACATGCGTCATAGCATTGTGTAAATGATTTACTGTCTTGTGTACTATTATGTATATTATGTTGTGTACCTTGGTATACATCCAACTAACGTTCAATGTAACGTCACCTGTATCATGCCTCCTAGGCTCCTACCTAATTAATCCTCATTTAATGACTCATGCTTCACTATCTGAGCATTAATGAAGGTATAACCACGGTTGGGACAAAGACTCGTAAATTAACTAGAGCAACTTTCCTACTCGGACATTTCACCATGCTTATTGGTCCAGTCAACCCTTAGGGGTAGGATCTTTCTCAAGCTTTATAAGAGACAGTCCACATGTGACCTCCCTCTCTTAGTTTCTTCATCCAGCCGCAAAAGCTTCGTGATGCTGGGGAACCCCCCAAAGGGGTTGATCCAACCAGATATGGCCTTATGCAGGAGAGAGTCTCACAAAGAACCAAGGATAATCTCAGGAGTTTGGAAGAAGGACTCCAACCAACAACGACTCCAATCACCCTGGAATCTCTTCCAACTTCCTCACTTCTCCTGGGTGCTCAGCGTGGCCTCAACAGGGCCCAGGGGCCTTGACCAAACTAGCCATGTGCTCATGTACCCCTTTTCCACCAAGGCAGAGCTGGTGCTGGTTCGGAGCCAGAGCCTAGTTTCAAATCGTTTCTTTTTCGACCACTAAAGCACCAGCTCCGGACCAATAAAAGTGGTTCTTAAGTAGCACCAAATCATTGCTGGTCTAGAAGTAAGAACCGCTTACGTCAGCGGCTGGGGGCGGGGTTACAGTGACCAACAAGACGAATAGAAACTTGTGACCGCCATTTTTTAAATAGCAGCTAATCATGCTAATAGCAGCTCGATTGTAATCTCTGTTAATGCAAGTTACGGCGAGCTGCACGGACGTGCTGGATTCGTCGTGTTTGGATACTGATGTTGGTTTGCAAAGCCATGAGCAAAAATAGTAACACAACAACCACCATTGTTGATGGAAGGCTTGTTCAAGATGCATTGGAGCGGCGTGGACTGATCGGAGCTGCGGGAGTGTTTGGAGAGTTTACGACTCCTTCTGCTTTTGAATCAAATCTTTTTCTGATGTTTTTTTTTAATTGCTCTCGCAGTTCGAGATTCACAGTGCCGAACCATCTCGTTTGTTTGTGCTGTGCTAGCGTTGCTGGGCAACATGAGATGTATACAGTGATGTAAGATCTGGCTCTGTGATGACTCTCTAGCTTGTGGAAAGGCAAACCGGTTCATTGAAAGCTCGTCAGTCGAACCAACTCTGAACCAGCACTAGCTCTAGTTCTGAACCAGCACCTGGTTCTTGTTGGTGGAAAAGGGGTAATGGAGAAAGATAACTTTCACAAACTTCCACTTGCCACTGCCAAAACCCTCAACGACTTCAAGAATTGTTCCCACTAAAAATGCAAGTATTCAATTCAATGAAATGTGAAAATGAAATGCTGTTGGTTCTTCTCATAGTTAGATGGATCTTCTCCATCGTTACATCATTCCATCTCTCACTTTTTTTTTCTACACACGAATTTATGTATTTATGTTTGTTTAGTTTATTCATGTTTATGAGTTAGTTAATAAAACTTGCACTTTATGTATTTGGTTCTGATTCACTGATTGCAAACTAAGTCTCTTTTACGATCTTGACCCTGCTACATGCTCAAGCGCTGTACATGCTAAGAAATAATTATTCTTCTGTGGCCATGGAAGTAACCTTTTCTTAGAATAAATTAATAATCAAAAGAGTTCGTTGGACGAACTGATTAATTGAGTGTAATATTAATTTAGCCATGTCAATTTAATCCAGCGTTTCTCAAAGTGTGGGGCGCGGTGGGGAATGGACTATGTGCACATTAGCATATGCTAGTTCCGGCTGCGAAACCGATATGGGGTGTCTAGTTTCCGGTAGCCTGATGGACGACGTAGAGGATGTATGCTTCTCCAGATGTCTTGAACATTCGGCGAATATTACAGTCGATTATGTTCATCGACTGGCTAATGATTTTCCTCTAGCTCCCCAGAGCAAGAGAGAAGGGGTTTAAATATTACATTTCTCAGTATTTGCATCATTTTGAAGGGAACGTTAAGTCACAACAACATCCATGCTCAGACTGATCTCATGAAATTGCGTATGTATGACACGTATCATGTATTTTTGGCATGCTATCAACACGCATAATCTCTTTTCAGCGTGTTTATGAATACCGTTGACTTAACGTTATTATTGTATATATATATATATATATATATACACAGTGTATATATATAGCATATGACCTACCTCAACCCCAACCTACCCGTCACTCCTACCATCCTAGGAAAAAATAAATATCGCTTAGATGTAGATCTACATTTTGTTTTGTTTTGCTCGGACATTTGACGGCGTGTACATACGCGGTACACATGGAATCACTCGGACATTAATGTTGCCATGCTACGTGCTCAAGCTATGCGATTTGGTAACTGTTATATCTCTCTATACATTATAAAATGCGAAATCATGCGTTAGAAAGTGCATTTTCCAGAACAGTTTGTGTTGGCCATTGTTTTGTTTATGATGTTCAGAGGCTATGTTGTTGACAACCACTATCTATATAGAATGTCATATAGATCAGTGTTGACAACCACTATACATGTCATACAGGGAGTAAAGGTATCCGACGTTATATAGCATATGACCTACCTCAACCCCAACGTTATCAAGTTAGGCTGTTTAACACATATTAGGCTGTTCACACATATTTCTAAACAGGTCTCCCTTGCAAAGTAGGTTCTAAACTTCTCCTGGTTAAAGGGTATAATATAATAAATAATTAGTAGCCTAAAAACTTCCTTCTAGTTGTCATGGATACGCAACGCTCCACTCTGTAAAGCGACTGCTTGGGTGCGGTGACAAAATGTGAAATATCGTTTACTTTTCACAATGCAGCAGCGCCTGGCTCCACCCAAATATGAGTGAAAACTGTGTTGGTTGACTTGACAATGAACAAACGAACATAGTTTTAGACAAATATATTTAGATAGCTAAGCTTTAGATAGCCGGTCCACTGATGTAGGATGTAAACAACGGCAACCGGAACCAAAGTACCCAACATCCGCCCTCAAGGCGGAAGTTAGCATTTTTCTCGTGCACAGAGTCAATAGAAACATGACAGGTGGGGCGCGACAAATGGGAGAAAATGTGGTAATTTTGTGCTCAACTCTATTAGTTCCTTTATTTATTGAGCATAAACTCAAACCAAAACGAGGACACATTTAAATGTAAGCCTTACTTAACCTTTTAACACGTAAGTTTAAACGTTTTTAGAGGCGCCGTTATTTACTGTAGATCGTCTCCCTTGGTTTCCATGGTGACGCGTCATTGCTTGTCACACCCATAGACGGTATGGTCCACCGAGCTGAATGACTGATTATCTGCGTTTATTTTACAAATTTGTTGGCTATAGTGGGAAATATCTGATATTCCGATTGTCAAATATGAGCAAGTGGATGTGTATTGTTGTTTAACACCTTAGTTGAGCTATGCGAGAGGCGTTAGTTTATGCCGCATTTTAGAGAATCGGATCTGGATTTAACAAACGTCTGTTTATCCACTTCTCCCGAAACATGAAAGTAAGTGGCCCGGTGAACTTGAAGAAGCATAGAGTAAACTCGAAAGTTACTTACACGATGTGTATTTGATAAGAATAATACTTATTAATACGTGTTGTCTAATTAATGGAAATAATTATTTTTGCCGCTTCCATATTTGACAAACTCTAAATGTATTGCTTTTTTAGTAACTTACTTATCGTGAATTTAAATGTCTGAAACCTAAAATAAACCTTATGTGGTTGAAAACATTATGTGGCTGAATAGTTTTGATGTCAAGCAGTAAGCATTTTGCGTCTCTGACTCAGAACATATGTGTAGCCTACTACTCATTTTAGACACTAAATTAGTTAATCAATTAATTTTGAACTTTCAAAGTGCACACGATTTCTGAATTTATCTTTAAAACGTGCAAACTTTTCTTCTGGTGGAGCATGCCCCCGGACCCCCTGAGTGCAGAGGTCCACACCACACACACAATACTGTGGGAAACACAGTAGCTTTATGACAGTTTTCGAAAAATACAAAATACTATTATTATTATAAAAAAAACCTAAAATACAAACATTATTAGGATTTTACCACCTCCGCTTCGTTGTGAACCAGAAAAAACCCTGAGATTATTATTATTCTTTTTCAATCAGGCAGTTTGCGAAGTGACAAAATAAAGCTAATAAACTAGTCCACACTTTTATTTTCTCCATTTCTGAATTTGATGTTATCAAAGGCAAAATACAAACACAATTGCATTATTATTTTTATATACTGTCATGTTTTTTGTTTTTAAAATGTCATGTTGATAAAATACGTTTTAACTTAAAGCCTAGTTTATTAACATTTTTTGGTGGGCGATTGCAAGGGGACAGGTGGGGCCCGAACCCTTCCCTACCGTCAAAGTGGGGAATGGCAGAAAAAGTTTGAGAAACACTGATTTAATCCAACTAACTGACCCAAATCTTCATAATTAATTAGTTATTATAATAATATAACTAATATATAATATTACTAATAACTAATAACATAATTAATTAAAGTTATTATTGATTGATAATATTTCCTATAGCTGTAAGTTCCTTACAACACACACGTGGTGTTACTGAACCTGGTACAATTTCCTTTTATTTCTAGTGAGTAAAACAGCCATTTCAACTTTAAATGATAATATGATGATGAAGATCGTTAGAAACTATTCTTACTTAACTGTCTCCAGTTTATAATGTGGATCATCCTTCAGACCCTTCAGCCTCACTCCTGAGTCTCCTAGTTTATTCCCATACAGACTCAGCTCTCTCAGGTGTGAGGGGTTTGATCTTAGAGCTGAAGCCAGAGCACCACAACCTTCATCTGTGACACCACAATCCCTTAACCTGTAGGGAACAATATCCAAAGATAAACATGACCACTTAAAAAAAAAAATAACAATGCTGTCAATATGAAATATTTACAAATATTCATTGGTTCACATTGTTAAAATAAATCAGTTAGGATAAGGGGATTGAATATACATTTTGTCCAATATAAGAATAATTATTTCTATGGAAAGTCCTCATAAAACATGGAAACTCAACGCGTGTGTCTGTGTGTGTTGTGTGTGCTTAATGTATTTGTAAACATTTTAAATATGTGTGTGTGTTTGGATTGGGAGAAAAAAAATGATTCACCAAACTATCGTGATTTTTTTTATTTGCAATTTTAAAACAGATTTTTTTTTTGTTACAGAATCACTATTGATTCAAATTAAATAGCTTTATTTTTGTCCTTGCTTATAGACTAGGTTTGCAGAAGTTAGCCACTTTTGTTCCAACAGAGGATGAAATGTGTTGCGTTATCTATGAGTGTCGTAATATCCCTTTCAAGTGGATGCGTGGAAGCGGCGTGAGACTGAATGCACTGAAAATGGCGATTGTGGCCACGGAGAGACATCTGTGGTTGAATCCAGCCGACATCAGGGAGAAAGAGAAAGGCTTTCTCCTCGATTCACTGGTTTCACCCTCTGAACTTTTTTCGGCACTGGAGGCGGTGGTTGGAAAGTTCAGAGAGGCAAAGGCGCGCTCAGCTGCATTTAGGACCTGCATACCGCTGAGATCCGCATTCATGCCCAGGCAAGTCCGAGGACCATAGACAGGGCCAGAGAACCAGTGTTGCCTCTCATGCGCCCCCTCCGTGGAGGAGTAGGTCACAGAGAAGGCGAGACTCCCGCAAGAAGATGGATCTGAGGGAGGTGATCCAGCACAAATGCACACAACCTTCTCTGAGGGCGTGAATATAAGAAGAAAAACGCAGCCCTATTCTCTCTTCTCTGACCCCCCAGGAACTTCTTACACCAAGCCTGAGGTTGGGCCCATGATGAGATCAGTGTTCTTATGGCCCGCCTTGTATTGGTTGGTGAGAGTGACTCTTTCAGGTATATGAAAGGCGCTAGACCCCATGTTCACGAAGAACTGCTTGGTGAGTCTTCATTCCACACGCCGCAGTTGAGCTGACGTGGTCTTTATTAAGAGTAATTTTTGTGTACTACTAACACTAAAATGTATCTCTCTACAGACCTTGTTGCCTGTATAGAATTGTTGGGTCAATGTCCATGTCATTAGGTAAGGTCAAATATTAGGATTATTAGGGCCCTGAAGTTGACTTGTTAAGTGGCTAGAACGATAGAAAGGAGAATGTGAGTGTAGATGGCTTCCCTTGTAGTCACATGCAAGATAAATGTTGCATGTTGTTAGTGTCGAAGCAGGAGATACTGAGGACTCATGCTTTTGAGGAGCTTGTTGAGGTTGTAATGAGAGCGGTTGAAAGATTAAGCATCAATTGGCCGGCTGATAAGCTAGATGAATGCTTCCTGCCCTCTCGTTCACAATCTCAATCTGGCATCTCCCCGTGACCGTGCTCTTTATTGTTAGAGATAGAGGGATAGTGTTATGTTTGTGGACTATAAACTCCATATGAAACTAGTTTATCCCACGATCTTGACACCTCGATGTGGAGATCGGGGAAAAACGAAAGGCCCCAGCCCTCTATCCCGAACCACAAAGAGCACAGTTATGGGGAGATGCCAAAGGTGGAAGAGACGCTCACGAGCCATCTCTCCCCTGAATTTTTAATGGATGCACCTCTGTCACCATCTGGCCTCTTCGGCAATGCAGTGAATTCGGTTGTCAAGAGGTTTCAGGAGTCAGCTAAACAGGCAACTGCAGTCTAGAAACTCCTCCCTTGCCGCACACATGTCTCCAGGTTGCTGAGCGGGATCAGGCCCAAACGTCTAAAGCCAGCTACTCACACCATGCTACACAAAAGCAGAGTGTTGCTTCCCATGCTTCCCCACAAAAAGACTGGGGACACGGAAAGCGCTCTCAACCGCAGTCTTCAAAGGGTAAGACAGATCTGAGGGCCGTCATTATTTCTAAGAAGGCTGCAGGGAAAGGTCCTGAAGTCTGACGCAGGCCAATAAGGACAGCCCCCCCCCTCCCCAAGTTGATTTACACCAAACATTTCAGCTTTTAAAAATAACTCTTCATTGTAACCGTTATCTGTTTTCTGGTTTGTAGTTTGTCCAGTTTATTTAACTGTTAGTTTTACTTTCTTTTGGGTGATAATAATGATAATACTATACTAAGATATAAATGTTCTTCTTCAGGTAGACTCTTCACAGCTGTCTTCTACTGCCGGCAGGATCTGACGGTTCAAGCAGGATCCTATCACTGAGATGGGGTTTACGCAAAAAATCAATCCTTAATCACTCTGAGTCTTTATGGTAGAGATGATCTTACCACAGTATCTCCAGTTTACAGAGAGGATTCGCCAGTACAGTAGAAAACAGCTTCACTGAGTCTCCTAGTTTATTCTTATCCAGATCCAGTTTTCTCAGGTGAGAGGGGTTTGATCTCAGAGCTGAAGCCAGAGCAGCACAACCTTCATCTGTGACACCACATTCACTCAACCTATAGAGAATAATGACACACATTAAGCCTATATTCAAGGATAAACATAACACTTAAAAAATAACTTTTATAAATAAATAATGCTTTCATATAAAAGCATAATGCTTTCAATATGAAATACAAATACTCATTAATTCACATTGTTAAAATACATCAGTTAGGATTACGGGATTGAATATACATTTTGTACAGTATAGAAATCATTATTTCTATGGAAAGTCCCCATAGAACATGGAATACCAATGTGTGTGTTTGTGTGCTTAATGTATTTGTAAACATTTAAAGGAGTGTGTATGTTAGGGCTGGGAGAAAATAATTGATTCACTAAACTATTGCAATTTTTGTTTTGTTTATGATTATAAAATAGATTTTTTTATTCCAGAATTGATATTGATTCAAATTAAATTGCTTTATTTTTGTCCCTACTTATAGACAAGGTTGACAGAAGTTAGCAACTCTTGTTCCAACAAAAGATGAAATGTGTCGTTATCTATGAGTATCGTAATTTCACTTTCAAGTGGACGCGTGGAAGAGACGTGAGACTGAATCACTGAAAAGCCCTAACGCTACTCATATGCTGAGAGAGAGATGAGACAGTAGAGCTGCACGATTAAACTTTAAAATGCTGTGATCTCCATTCAAACACACACACGATCTTCTTCCAATTCCTCTGTCTATTAAACCTTTGACAAAATCAACACTTTGAATCTATGATGGTGCTGCCGCTGACCCAGAGAGAGAGTTGTCATGAAACAGCTTCACAAAATGTCTTTTCAACCTCATAATAGTATCATTATTTCTGTGATACTGCAATGAACCACAAGGAACAGAGGAATCCATTTGCAGCTTTATTAATCAGAATCGTACAGGCAGGGTCGAGACGAGGCAGACAGAGCAATGCAGACAAGACAACAGGATAAACCAGGAGACAGGCAGAGATCAGGGCAGGCAGCAATAATCGTAATCCGTAAACAGTCCGAGTTCAGGCCAGGCAGATATGAATCGAAGAAGAGTCAAACAGTCCAAAGTCCAAAACCAGAAAACCAGAATCAGGGTATAAACGCTCAGAAATGATCACCGCGGCAAATCAAGACTTCGCACTGGTGTGGTGTGTGAAGGTGGCTTTTATGGGTGTGTGCAGATGCAGTGCAGGTGTGATGTGCAATCAGTCCCAGGTATGAGGCATGATGGGAATTTGAGTTTAATGCCAATGATCAATATTCCGGGGAAGGCTCCCTCTGGTGGCGGAGAGGAGACAGAGCGGGAGCCTCCATTGTAACAGAGCCCCCCCCCTGCGAGCGGCTCCTGACGCGAGGAGGCAAATGTTGTTGGGGTCTCCCACGGGGTCGAGGGGCTGGTTTCTCCGGGTATGTCCTATGAAACTCTTCCTTGAGAGTGGGGTCCAGGATATCCCTCGAGTTGACCCAGGAATGTTCCTCCGGACCGTACCCCTCCCAATCGACCAGATATTGGAGAATGTTACCCCGACGTCTGGAATCCAGCAACTTGTGCACCTTGTACGCCTCCTCGCCGTCGACCAAAAAGGCAGGAGGACTCTGGGAGGTGGCCCCCTCCTCCGCTTCTCCCCTGTGACCACCAGCGGGTTTCAACAGAGAAACATGAAAAGTGGGAGAAATACGGTAGTTAGCGGGCAGGTCTAATCGAAATGAAAATTTGTCTTACAATTTGGAAGGGGCCAACATACCTGGGACTGAGCTTGCGACATGGAAGTCTGAGTCGAAGATCTTTGGTGGACAGCCATACCCATTGGCCAATCTGGCCAATGCTGTCCAGACTCGTGATGTGAACTGAGGTCCACGATCTGATACAATGTCCTCAGGTAATCCATAGAAGCGGAAGACTTGGTTGCACAGGAGTTCGGCGGTTTCGAGAGCTGTGGGGAGTTTGGTAAGAGGAACCAGTCGACATGCTTTGGAGAATCTGTCTACAATGGTGAGGATAGTGGTGTAGCCTTGGGAATTGGGAAGGTCGGTGATGAAATCGATGGCTATGTGTGACCAGGGTCGTTGTGGTGTGGGTAGAGGGCAAAGTAGACCAGCGGGTAGTTTCCGGGGTGATATTGAGGTTTGACATTCGGTGCAGTTTTGGATGTGGGTTATGGTATCAGCGGTGAGTGTGGGCCACCAAAACCGGTTCTGGAGAAGATGGATTGTGGCGTTGATTCCAGGGTGACCAGAGCTGGGGTTAGAGTGAACTTGATCTAGGAGAAATGTTTCTGGGACAAAGAGGCGTTCAGCTGGACATTCGGTAGGGGCAGGAGTCTGGACATTTGCTTGTTGGATCTCGGTTATGACATCCCACTGAACAGGAGCTACTAATAAATTCTTACCAAGAATGTTTTCGGGATTGGGGTTCTGGTTAACCTCGTCAGATTGTCGGGAGAGAGCATCTGCTTTCGTATTCTTGGATCCAGGACGGTATGTGATAGTGAAGTTGAATCTGGTGAAGAATAATGCCCATCTGGCTTGGCGGGGATTGAGTCGTTTGGCCGATCGCAGATATTCCAGATTTTTGTGATCTGTGAGAATGATGAAGGGTTCGGCTGCCCCCTCTAGCCAATGATGCCATTCTTCAAGGGCTAACTTCATTGCTAACAATTCGCGGTTCCCCACATCATAGTTGCGTTCAGCGGGAGAGAGTTTACGAGAAAAGAAGGCGCATGGATACATTTTGGATGGTTCCCCTTGGCGCTGTGAGAGTATGGCCCCCACCCCTGTGTTAGAAGCGTCTACTTCTACAATGAACTGGCATTCAGGATCCGGATGACGCAGAATAGGTGCAGTAGTGAAACGTTTCTTTAATTCTTGAAAGGCCTGTTGTGCTTCGATGTTCCATGAAATACGGGAGCTGTGTCGTTTGGTTAGTGCGGTTAGAGGAGCGGTGATCAAGCTGAAGTTTCTGATGAATCTTCTGTAGAAGTTTGCGAATCCCAGAAATCTGTGCAACTCTTTCACAGTTTGTGGTACTGGCCAGTCTACTACTCCCTTCACCTTCTTCTCATCCATCGCAACTCCGTCTTGGCTGATTATGTATCCCAGGAATGAGACGCTGGTTTGATGAAACTCACACTTTTCCATCTTGGCGTACAGGTGAAATTGGATTAATCGTTGGAGGACCGATCTGACATGTTGGACGTGTTCTTCAAGTGAATTGGAGTATATTAAGATGTCATTAATGTAGACGATCACCCATCTGTCCAGCATATCTTGGAAAATATCGTTCATGAACGCCTGGAAGACTGAAGGACTGTTGGACAAGCCGAAAGGCATAACCAAGTACTCGTAGTGCCCACTAGTGGTGGAGAAAGCAGTTTTCCACTCGTCCCCTTCATGAATGCGAACCAGGTTGTAAGCGTTGCGTAAGTCGAGCTTGGTATAGTACTTGGCCTGTCGGAGCTGTTCTAATGCTGCTGGTACAAGAGGCAGTGGATAGCGGTACTTGACTGTTATATCATTCAATCCTCGATAATCAATGCAAGGTCTGAGTCCTCCATCTTTCTTCTTTACGAAGAAGAATCCGGCTGCGGCTGGTGAGGTTGATGGTCGAATGAAGCCTTTAGCGAGTTCCTCTTTTATGTACTGTTTCATGGCTTCGGATTCAGGTCTGGATAACGGGAAAATTCTCCCTCTTGGGGGAGTTGTACCGGGGATCAAATCTATGGCACAGTCAGTAGGACGATGTTCAGGAAGTTGTGCAGCCTTTTCCTTACTGAATGCTTCGCTCAGATCTGCATAGGGAGAGGGTAAGGTTTCGAGCTCAGGTATCGTTGTGCAGGATGCTGGAATGGACTGGATAATTCGGGTGACTTTAGTTAGACACTGATTCTTGCAGGTTTCGTCCCAGCGAATGATCTGAGCTTCTCTCCAAGAAATATGAGGGTTATGGATTTGGAGCCATGGATGTCCCAGAATGATAGAGTGATGTGGAGCGTGGATGACGTAAAATTGGATGTTTTCAGAATGAAGAGATCCCATGTCCATCTTGATCTCTTCGGTTACACACTGGATCTTCCCCTCTCCGATGGGGTGTCCATCTAGCGCCTCCACTGTTAGAGAAGAATGACATGGATTCAGTTTGACGTTGCACTGTTCGGCGAATGATTGAGACATGAAATTTCCTGCGGCTCCAGAATCAATAAAGGCTGTGGTATCAAACACTTGATCTTGAATGGTCAATCGAACTGGAATTGTGAGGTTATTGGTGGAGATTCCCTTCCTAACTTGAGAACTCACCGGAGGATTATGAGATGATGGTCGCACGGGACGGGAGAGTTTCATGTGTCCAGGTTGACCGCAGTACATACATAACCGGTTCTGGAATCTGCGATCTCGTTCCTCTGGAGTGATGTGTGTGAATCCCAGCTGCATGGGTTCATGAGAGATTGCTGCCCTGAATGAAGCACGGTTTGCTGCCCAGGGATTGCGTCGGACACGCATCAGATTGTCGACTTGAATGGCCAGAGAGATATAATCATTCATCCAGCTAACTCGGACTGGAGTTCTGGGGTAAGTCCTCTTCTGAAGAGCGTCTTTAGAGTATCTTCCACCCAGTTGGTTTGTGCAGCGAGCGTGCGAAAAGTAAGAGCATAATCAGCGGTTGTATCTTTCCCTTGTGTGAGATTTAAAAGTTGCATCTCCTCCTGCATCTCCTTCTCCGGTGGTATGCTCAAAGACTTGACGAAATTGTTGGGTGAATTCTTGAAAAGTGGTGAACGTATTTCCCTCCGGCTTCCAGATGGCCGTAGCCTACTCCAATGCTCTGCCGGTGAGCAGCGAGCACACAAAAGCAATGCGACTCCCATGACTGGAGTATAATGCAGGTTGCTGATCGATGAAGATACAGTAGTGCATTGTAACAGGAACCCCTTACATTTACTTGGGGTGCCATCAAATTTCTCAGGAAATTCGAGCCGTGGATTGACTGTGGTACTCACATTCTCAGGAGGGACTCTCGGTAATGGAGGAGGAGCGGGTGCGTTGGGTGTCACGCGGACGGCGGTACGAAGCTCTTGCATACCCTGTACCAGCTGTTCGGTGAGAGTGGTTAGGTGACTGAGCTGCTGATGGTGCAGATCCAAACGAGAGGCTTGAGTGGTGAGTTCGGTGGTTAACTGCAGGACAGCTGCTGGATTAGAAGGCAGCGAAGTCTTCTGTAATGAACCACAAGGAACAGAGGAATCCATTTGCAGCTTTATTAATCAGAATCGTACAGGCAGTGTCGAGACGAGGCAGACAGCAATGCAGACAAGACAACAGGATAAATCAGGAGACAGGCAGAGATCAGGGCAGGCAGCAATAATCGTAATCCGTAAACAGTCCGAGTTCAGGCCAGGCAGATATCAATCGAAGAAGAGTCAAACAGTCCAAAGTCCAAAACCAGAAAACCAGAATCAGGGTATAAACGCTCAGAAATGATCACCGGGGCAAATCAAGACTTCGCACTGGTGTGGTGTGTGAAGGTGGCTTTTATGGGTGTGTGAAGATGCAGTGCAGGTGTGATGCGCAATCAGTCCCAGGTATGAGGCATGATGGGAATTTGAGTTTAATGCCAATGATCAATATTCCGGGGAAGGCTCCCTCTGGTGGCGGAGAGGAGACAGAGCGGGAGCCTCCATTGTAACAGATACAATAGTTCAAATTATCATAGAAGGTAATATAGATATATATCATAGATCAGTGTTCTTCCACCCTGCTCCTGAAGGACCCCCAACACAGCACATTTTCTTTGTCTCCCTATTAAAACACACCTGATTCAACTCATCAGCTCATTATCACATAGGTTAATTAGCAGATCTGTTGAATCAGGTGTGTTTGAATAGGGAGACAAAGAAAATGTGCAGTGTTGGGGGTCCTTCAGGAACAGGGTTGAAGAACACTAGTTGCGTTTACATGGACCCTTATAATCGGATTGACGGCTCAATCGGACTAAAAAACCTTAATGTAAACACATAAATCGATCCAATTGAGCTCGATCCGACTGGAATTTCGATCGGATTGAAAGGGGTGGTTTACTCCTTTTGTAATCCGATCGAGAGAACATGTCCACACTTCGAAAACATCAAATCCGATTGACATATAAACACGCACATCGACCCGATTACTTTATTTATCATTCATGTAAATACCTTGATGGGATTCATCAATCGTATTGATTTCATTCCGATTGTGTCCATGTAAACGTAGCAACTGTCATAGCTTAAAATATATGAAGATGTAAATGTTCCTCTTCAGATAGACTCCTCACCTGTTATAAAGAAAGGTAAGACCCAAAAGAGAATTGCCCTGAACAGTCTCTTTAATTATGAGAGAGAATTCAGTCCAACAGAAAAGTTACTTGAGACAAGAAACAGAAAAGCAGCCGTTAATGCTGACGTTCCAATAACATAACAGATATGGGCACTCTTGGAGGTTGACAACAGCAAACAGTCTGAGCAGGGGTCCGGCGGGTACCGCTCTCGGATCCCCTGAGCGTACAAGACATGGGCGAGATGAATGTGCTTTCAACAGCAGCTGGCGGGCTGAACAGAGTGCAGAGCATCAGTCAGGGGGCTTTTACACTGAGCTCGTTTGCTGCGGTCCGAGCCCGAGCGCGTTTGTTCCGGCACCCCCCGCAGCGTTGGTCTGGTTTCACACTCAACTTGATTATATCGAACCCTGGTGCGTTCTTACGTCATCGCAAACGTGCACGGCGCATGATAGAAAAAAGAACGTGGGTAAATATTGTGGCTTTTTTTTTATTAATTTGCTGCTTCTGCTGCTTGCAAACGGACTCTTTTGAGGAGACAGTGGATTTCCAAATGTGTTTCCAAATGATACTATCATCCCTTACAAGTGTTTATTTAGGCTGGGAAAGTTAACGTGTAAATCTCTGCAATTAATTTTACATGTTTAACGCATTAAAATAAATTAACGCAATTGACGCAAGCCAATCGCGTCCATTTTAACAACTTCCTGTTGTGACAGAGGAGTGTGCTAACTGAGCCAAATCACACTGCACGATGATGGAGAGCGTTAACGGTGGAGTTTTACATGGAAAGTGTCACGGTGTGTGCAGGCAGAAGGACAGGCTGAGTCCAGATTCCAACGAGGACAATACATTTAATTCAAAATACAGGCAGGAAGACGGGGTTTCACAGAGTAACATTCAACATTGACCGACCAAGACAGACTGAAAGAGGGAGAACTAAATACACAGAGGAATTAAGCTAAATGAGGTGAACACAGGTGGAAATGATAATGACAGGACGAGGAACAGGTGGCTGATTGGGGAGTGAGTCCGGGAGAGGAACAAAAGGATCCGGGGAAGTGTGGTGCAGATGACGGGACACACTGGTGAGGACGACAGACTGTGACAGAAAGTTTACATTTGAAAAAATGTCCTGATGGCACAGACAGAAAAGTGGTGGTATGTACAATTTGCAAAGCCGAATTTAAATACCACCGGAGCAATTCGTCTTTACTATACCATTTAAACGCAAAACACCCAGGTGTTCTTGCTGCAACTAGCGAGGCTACAGACCATACTGGATTACTGTAGGCCTCGTGGCGGACCGATGAACAAATCTGTAACTGAATATTTAACCGATTCTATAGCTAGATGGATAGCTAGAAACTGCCGCCCAGTTAACACGGTAGATGACGAGGGACTACGAGAAGTAATTCAAATTGCATCGGGAGACACTTCTTACAATCTACCTTCTAGAAGAACGATTGTGTCGAGAATACACCATTTGTATGTCAGCAAGAGGGCACGGAGGATGGACATGCTTGAGAAAGCAACGAACGTCGCGCTCACAGGAGATCACTGGACGTCTGTGAGCAATAACAACTATTTAGGCGTCACAGCACACTTTATAGATGAGGAGTGGAGTTTCCGTTCATTTGCCCTTACTGTGAGTCAAACCACCAAACGCCACTTTGCGGAGGCATGCGCTGATCATTTTTTGGAAGTTGCCAAATATTGGAATGTGGAGAATAAGTTAACAACACTTGGGACTGACAGTGCTCGGAAAATGACAGCAGCTGTGAGACTACTACCATTTGAACACCTGTCCTGTACAGCCCACTGCGTTCAAAGAACTGTAACTGTTTCTCTTCACGACTGTGGATTAGTTTTATCTCAAATATCTTCTTTTTATAATCTTTGGAAGCCGAAATACAAAATATATTAGAATAATATCCCAGATCTAAAGTGTAACCACGTTGAATGTTTAGTTCTGTCCTCATTGTCACTCATTAAGCAAGGGCTGTCGTGTTGCGCGTGCTGTGGCTTTGCGTGAGAGATCGCTCTCTCTCTTCTCTCTCTCTCTTCTGAACTGCGCATTGCAAATTTGCATCACAGACTATGGTTTAATTAAAATATAGTTTATATATAGAAATGGCTAGCGAAACATGTTCAAGATAACTTCTTTATAGGAATAATAAATAGTAGCCCAACTTGCGTGTATTTACTTAATTTCTCCAGTACCGACAAGCAGAACCGATAACGTCCGAGCTTATCGATACAGCGGTCTTTCAAAATTCAGTACCGGGGCCCGTTCAATACCGGGTTTCGGTACCCATCCCTACTTGCAACGCATCATACCGAGGGCGTGGTTTGAGTGAAAAAGTCCTTCCGCAAACAAACAAGCTGCAAAAAAGGGGGCGTTTTGAGGTTTGAAATTCACCACTCACAACCATAAACACAACAAATGTGGTGACGTAATGGAGGTGCAACCAATAACGTTAGTGTATTGCTTCAAGCGCGAGAAAAATAGAGATACCCCTCGCTGCAGCGAGGAGTACTTGGAGAAATACTTTAAAATTACAGCAATCTTTCCCGAAGCAAAGAGAACAGTTTGAGGTTTGGAAACAGTTTTGTTCTATTCACCTTATTTTGCACGACAACAAGGGTGACGCCTTTGCGTTCGTTTTGTCATCTTACTCCCGTCTGAGAAAGACTTCAATTTCCGGCTCATGAAAGGGATGAGATTCTGCGCTAGTTGAAACGAACGGTAAAATATGTCAAGTATTAAATGTTCAGTTAGGTGCTGCCATAACAATTGGATTAAGAGGAGAGAACAATTGAACCAACGGTGTAACGAATATAATGTGAAGCGTTCAGAGTGTTGTTGTGGTGCACTTTACGATTTAGCTACACCCACCAACTAAAGACGAGTAGCACCGGAGGCAATGGCGGAAGGCGCTAAACTTGGAAGCATAGGCTTGAAAGTGCCCAACTAAGGACGGGAAGCCGATTGACGAACACCCCAGAAATGGCTTGGCTACGATGTTCCGATAAAGAAGTCACGCCAGGTGTTGAATAGGTTTTCAGATTCAGGTAAGCTAACTTACCTAACTGTTATGTGCTTGTTAGCCTAACTTTAGATTCGTGAAGTCCGTTCTATGAATGCATTTAAGATCAGTAACAAGCCGTAAACAAAATACAATGAATCTTGCATGATTACCATTGCCCACATATACTTATTTTTTAAGTATATTTTTGTGATAGTGACCTAAGAGTCTGAAAGAATGAATGAATGAATGAATATTCACGATAGTACAAGATAGTATGGTAACTTACATTACAGTCTTACAATAGCTCACATTACTGCTATTGCACATTACGAGATGTAAACAACACTGGTCCAGAAGCACTTCCTGTTTCAGTTTGTAAATGGCTTCTTAATTTCAAATGTAAAGAAAATATCTTAAAGATGTTTGTTTAAATTTTTGATTCAGTTGTATATGTTCTGTTGGTTATACTTTAACCCAACGTTTAACAGTGTTAAACGTTATCTAACAGTGTTAAAACTGAAACAGGAAGTGCTTCCGGACCAGTGTTGTTTACATCTTGCGAAATGGTCTATACAGAGATGGCTGATGCTAGCAGGCCAGCTAGCTACATCTCTCATTCAGATATTGATATTGACTTATGGCGAGTTAGGAGATTGTGTATTGTTTCGTTTTTAATTAATGTATCTTTCTCACACTGTTTTGTGTAACTATGGGTGCCATAATAAATGAATTCTCCATGATCTATTTTAAGTAGCTACTAATGTAAAAAATATTTATGGTTATAATATTTCCATAGATGCATCAATGAGAGTCAGTAATGCAGTGGATAACTATGAGGATGATCACATCCACATGCCCCACAGCTGTGATGCAGAATCACAATGGGAGGATCAATCTGTCTCTGGCCACAACCTGATCTTCTCAGAGAGACTCTCCAGCGTCTTGATGCTCTTTAGCGAAAGTATGAGCAGCACAGACTAACGTTACATGAAGAATCTTACAACGCTTCGAAAAGAATAAAAAGGGCACATGACGTGAACATTGCGGTAAGTCCAGTTATTTTTCTATAACGTGGCTGTAAACCATAGTTTGGTTACAATTATTGTTTTGTCTCTTGCGGTTACTGTGATGGCCAGCTTATTCGAACTGAAAATTCAGTTTTGTGGTTCTTGAAGATTGTGAATCCATTTAATCGCTTTTTAATTTCAAACTTTACAGGAATCTGTAAGGCGCCTCCATAGTTCAGAGAACAACCCACACAAATACGTTCCACAAACCAGGTAAGACTGCTTCTTATATACTATAGCCTAAATGTTAGTTTAATCTACTACTATATGGATTTGGAATGCCAAAACTGAATTTTATTAATGATACCTGCAACTTCCCCCCCCCAGAATAAATTCATCACATGACCTGGCTGTGACCACTTACCTCTTCGAAGAATTAAGGTTAACTTGCAGACGTTGACCCTAAATGTGTAAAAGGTAATCTTAAAGATGTTATAATCATTTTATTGTCCTCTGTTTTACTTATTTTTATTGCCATTACATTTATTTATGATATATTTAGCAGGTTGGAAGATGTATTTTGAGACTTTGCGGAGGATGTATTATTTGGCTCAGCCTGAAAAGGCCCAGAAAAGAAAAACTATGACGAGCATTGCAAAGAACCTTCAAAGAAAGAGACTGGCAAGTTAAGAAACTGGTTAAGCCTTTTTTTTCTCTTCAGAATGTAACTATCCTCCTCTCTGTGTTTTAGTGGTTAAGTTACTGTCATGTTTTTCAGTTGCTGGAGACCAGGTCCGGGGTTGTACAAACCAACACAGAAAAGGAACTTTGGAAGACCGCAACAATAGAACTGATGTCTGATGAAGATGATGCTATTGTTGATGGAAGGCCAGTGTGAATGGTGAGGTCTCCACCTAACCGTTATCTGCTCTCTGCTAGGTACTATAAAACAGACTAGAGGCTGACCCACACTATGCGTCACACCACCAGCGTTTCATGGCAGTTTGAAAAATGTTAACTCATATAAAATATATATATATACCGTTCAAAAGTTTGGGTTAATTTGATAGCTCAAATTAACTCAATACTTTTATTCAGCAAGGATGCATTAAATTAATCAAATGTGACAGTAAAGACATTTATAATGTTACAAAACATCATATTTCAAATAAATGAAATATAACTTTCTATTGATCAAATAATCCTAAAAAGTCTACAACTGTTTTCAACTTTGGTAATAATAATGAATATTTATTGAGCATCAAATCATCACATTAGAATGATTTCTGAAGGATCATGTGACTGAAGACTGGAGTAATGATGCTAAAAATTCATCTTTGATCACAGGAATAATGTATTCCAATAGAAACCTTTATTTTAAATTGTCATAATATTTAAAAATATTACTCTTACTTTTTTTTGTATTTTTTATTTTAAAAAAATGCAGCCTTGGTGAGCATAAGAGACTTCTTACCGATCCCAAACTTATAAACGGCAGTGTACACCTTGAATATTTTATATACACTTTAATTTCTTATTTATTTTTCTCGTATTATTTTGTATATTTATTCCTTTTTTTGTTGTCCATGTTGGTTATCTCCATTTTGTTTACTTGTTTGCATTTTAATGTATGTTTATAATGCTCTCTCTGTAATGTAATTTATTTATATTGTTTACTTGGAATATCTACGTATATTTATATATATATATATATATATATATATACGTATATATATATATGTACCTTTTTATATACACTGTGTACTTTAATTTTCTTTTACATCTCTGTCCTTTAAAATAATTGGGTAAAAAAAAAAATTAACGAAAATAAAAAGTTAACAATTTATTTAATGTATGTTTATAATTTTCTTTGGAATGTCCATGATTTTTTTTTCTTCCTTTGAGATGTTATTACTTCATACTTTTTTTTTTCTTGTTTTTGTTCCCCCATTCCTCTGTAATGCTTGTTTATAATGCTATTTGGAATGTGTTATATACCTTAATAAAAATTTCAGACTTTCCCATTGTTCTTTGTGTGTTTAAAAAAAAAAAAAATATATATATATATATATATATATATATATTGTTGTGAGTCGGAGACCGGTCCATTTGCAACAAGATTTATTAAAGTAACTCAACAGGAGTCAAACCAACATAAACAGAGTAGTGGGGCGTGCAGAAACGTGAAGAAAGCCAGGCATAAGATCGATAGGCGGGCAGCAAACCAACGAATCCAGGGACAGACTGAGGGTCAATAGGCAGGCGGCGGACAATCAAGGAGATCTAGAATAGCAAGGGGTAGGATCATAAAAAAACTTCCAGAGAACGGCTTGGACATGCAACACAACAGTGAAACAATGCTTCGCACAGAGTGAGCCGTGGGCATGGTTGATATAGGTTAAAGACAGGCAATCATTAGACACAGGTGGAAGGCAATCATTGCGAGAGTGATGCTCAAGGGATTTGTAGTTCTGAAGACATTAGTATTCGGGCGAGGGCGTTCGCTGTCCGTTATGGTTAGAGACAGCGGACCTGGAAGTCGTGACAGAGCCCCCTCCCTGCGAGCGACTCCCGGCGCGAGGATGCTGGTGTCAACGGGGTCTCCCACGTGGTCGCGGGGCAGGCCGGTTGGGATGGTTAAGATGAAACTCACGAATGAGTGTAGCGTCCAGAATATCATTGGCGTTGACCCATGACCGTTCCTCTGGGCCGAAACCCTCCCAGTCAACTAAGTACTGGAGACGACCACCTCGACGTCTGGAATTTAGTAGTTGGTAGACACGGTAGGCTTCTTCACCCTCCACCAAAATGGACTGCGGAGGAGGATCTGTGGACTCCCTTCCTTCCTCCTCGAAGGGGGGCATAGCCGGTTTGAGCAGAGAGGCATGGAACGTGGGAGAGATGCGAAGATGATTAGGCAGAGCAAGACGATAGGACACCGGAGCTTGGACAGCTTGAGACGAAGGTCCCGAGAGGAGAGCCATACCCATTGGCCCGGTTGGTACTCTGGGTTAGGACGACGGTGGCGATCGGCCTGCTTCTTATTGCAGTTTAGGGCTCGTTGGAGGTGACGACGAGCCAAGTTCCAGGTCTCCTCACTGCGTTTTAACCAGTCATCTACAGAAGGAACATTTGTGGGCTCACCAGACCAAGGAAACAAGGGTGGCTGAAACCCGAGAACACACTGGAAGGGAGTCATACCGATGGAGTGCTTGAGGATAGAGTTTTGGGCATACTCTGCCCACATTAGCTATCGACTCCAATCCTCTTGGTGCAGATGACAGTAGGACCGGAGAAACCGGGTGATTTCCTGATTGAGGCGCTCGACTTGGCCATTGGCTTGGGGATGATACCCGGATGTGAGGCTCACATTGACCTGAAGCATCTGAAAGAATGCCACCCAGACACGAGAGGTGAATTGAGGGCCCCTGTCCGACACTATGTCCTCAGGAAGCCCGTAAAATCTAAAGACAAGATTGCAAAGGTGTTCTCCTGTATGTAACGCAGTGGGTAGTTTATGAAGTGGAATGAGACGGCAGGCTTTGGAAAAGCGGTCTATTACTGTGAGAATGGTAGTGTGAGCATTAGAGGGAGGCAGATCAGTGATGAAATCAATGGCTATATGGGGACCAGGGACGTTGTGGGATTGGCAGAGGATGGAGAAGACCAGCGGGCAATAGTCGAGATGACTTCTGTGTGTTGCAGTTCTGACACTGCTGCACAAACTTGATGGCATCAGGGACCAACGTGGACCACCAGTAGCGATTCTGAAGAAGTTGAATAGTGGCTGTGATGCCCGGATGTCCAGAGCTAGGGAGTGAATGCAGATGTTCCAGGACTTTTTCCCGGAGAGCTTCGGGAACATTGACTTTATTTTGGGGACACTCTGGAGGGACTTTCACATTGGCATTGGCCTGGTCAAGCTCTGTTTCAATATCCCATAGAATGGGGCCAAGGACAAGGTCAGGGTTCAGGATTGTTGCTGGAGACTGTGAGGTCACTTCGGAGTCGAACTGTCGGGACAGGGAATCAGCCTTAGTGTTTTTCGAACCGGGTCGGTAAGTAACTGTGAACTGAAACCGAGAGAAGAATAGAGACCACCTGGCCTGTCGGGGATTCAATCTCTTTGCCGTTCGGAGGTACTCTAAGTTCTTATGGTCCGTGTGAAAGAATGGAAGGCTCCCTCAAGCCAGTGCCGCCATTCTTCAAATGCAGCTTTCATTGCCAGTAATTCCCGATCTCCAACATTGTAGTTCTGTTCCGCCGAGTTGAGCTTCCTGGAGTAGTAGGCGCATGGATACAGCTTGGGTGGAGAACCTTGTTGTTGTGAGAGGATGGCACCCAATCCCGTGTTAGAGGCATCCACTTCCACTATGAAAGGCAGCTCGGGGTTAGGATGGTGCAAGATGGGTGCTGTGGCGAACCGTTGTTTTAAGTGATTAAAGGCGAGAACGGCACTCACATTCCAAGGAATCCGTGACACGTTCTTGCGTACGAGAGAGGTAAGAGGTCCAGCCACTGTGCTGAAGTCCTTAATGAAGCGGCGGTAGAAGTTTGCAAACACAAGGAAGCGCTGCAGTTCTTTCAAAGAGATGGGTTGAGGCCAATCCAGCACCGCTTTGACTTTATTCTTGTCCATCGCCACACCTTCTGGCCTAATGACATAGCCCAAGAACGTTACGGAGGTCTGGTGGAAATCACATTTCTCAATTTTTGCATAGAGTTGGTGTTGAATGAGCCTCTGGAGAACTGCCCGGACGTATTGGATGTGATTTTCCAGGTTGTCAGAATAAATCAGAATATCGTCAATGTAGACAACGACGAATTGATGGAGCATGTCCCGAAACACATCATTAATGAAAGACTGGAAAACGGCTGAACTGTTTGAGAGACCGAAAGGCATGACCAGATACTCATAGTGCCCTGTGCAGGTGGAAAAGGCGGTCTTCCACTCATCCCCTTCGCGGATGCGAATCAGATTGTAGGCGCACCGTAAGTCCAGTTTAGTGAAGAACTTGGCCGTACGAAGGAGTTCCAAGGCTGATGGCACCAGAGGCAACGGGTAGCGAAACTTGACGGTGCAGTCGTTAAAGGGTTAGTTCACCCAAAAATGAAAATTAAGTCATTAATTACTCACCCCCATGCTGTTCCAACCCCGTAAGACCTTCGTGCATCTTCGGAACACAAATAAAGATATTTTTGATTGAATCTGAGAGCTGGATCAGTCCTAGATAGACTGCCTAAGGGACTGGCTCTTGACGGCCCATAAAGTCATTAAATAAAAGGTTTAAATATTCCATGTGCCTACAGCGGCTCAATTATAAGTTTATCAAGCGACGAGACTACTTTTTGTGCGAAAAAAACATAAATAACGACTTTATTCCACTATTCCATTACTTCCTTAAGGGCGCATGCGCGAGAACTGAGACGAGGACGTTCTCATTCGACTACTTCTTGTTACTGGCTGCTCACCGCTTAGGAGTTTTACCGCCCCCTACCGTATAAGATGATGTGCTGATATAGGTGGAAGCGCAAAACTTTCTGTTTACAAGCAGAGGAAGATGCACGCTGTACATACGCTTTTCAATTTGCGTATTTTCCGCACTATAAGGTGCACTTAAAAGCCTTTAATCTTCTCAAAAAACGACAGTGTTCCTTATAATCCGGAGCGCCTTATATATGGATCATAATTTTATACGGTAGGTGGCGGTAAAACTCCTAAGCGGTGAGCAGCCGGTAACAAGAAGTAGACGAATGTGAACGTCCTCGTCTCAGTTCTCGCGCATGCGCCCATAAGGAAGTAATGGAAGAGTGGAATAAAGTCGTTATTTATGTTTTTTTCGCACAAAAAGTAGTCTCGTCGCTTGATAAACTTATAATTGAGCCGCTGTAGGCACATGGGATATTTAAACCTTTTCTTTAATGACTTTATGGGCCGTCAAGAGCCAGTCCCTTAGGCAGTCTATCTAGGACTGATCTAGCTCTCAGATTCA